TACAGTTATGTTTAAAATGAAGGACAGGTTTGTAGATCTCACTGACACTGAGTACTCATGGGTTAAATAAGATAAGTATACACATAATGAATTCCCAGCCACCACCCTCATCCTGCAGTACAGAACTCTTAGTCAGTGAGAAGCCTAAATACAAACCTTTGTAAAGGCTGCAGCACAACACATCACAAACCAGATTTATCTCATGACACAGATGTGTTCCACTACCCCCGACTTCTCCCGGTTGAGGTTGGTAATTGCCTCATTGAAAAAGCAGTACAACTTCTATTAATATCTGCACCGAGTGGAAGATGAATGTTTATATAATGTACCTCAGAGCTGATAGAGTTTATTCCTCCCTTGCCTGTATAAATAAGATGGACCTTTGGTGATAGTTTCTCTCAAAGGGGGGAGTGGGTGGCATGGAGGGGCGACACAGGGGGCTGGGGCTTGGCTAATTTATCTGTGCAGTGCAGGCACAAAGCCAGGAAATTAGGTGGTTTGGGATTTGGGACTTCGGCTAATATAAAACACAATATGCACACGCACACCCAGCGTCAGAGACGCAGCGCATGTCGAGATCTCTCGGGAGGAGGCCAAAATAAATATTAATTCATGATGAGATTAACCTGGTAGCTGCCTGCTGATCAGTCCCATCACATAATGTTTAAAGAGGGCACAATGGAAATCAGTTGGATCACATAAGTGTAAAGCCCGCCTGTGGTTACCTGTACCTCAGGGCTCAATCTTCAGCCAGGATGACATTCTTATGGGCGCCTGCGATGTTCCAATAAGATGTAGCGAACAAGCTACAGTTTTGTCTGTGATTTCAGCCACAAACATAGAAGACTTGAAAGTTATGTGGCATACATCTTCTCCGTCAAAGGTATACAGGCACACAGTAACTTTGTTGTAACAAATTGTCATTTGAGTTATTGTGCCTTCCTATCAGCTCAAAGCATTCTGGCATTGTTACCTAGAGAATTCCCACTTACTGGATATGTTGTTTTTCCAGACTATTCTCTTAACTAAAAATGCTTGTGTGGGAAAATCCCAGCAGATGGCCAGTTTCTGAAATACTCAGACCAGTCTGTACGGCACAAAAAACCCAATGCCACATTCAGTCAACCAAATCACCTTTCTTCCTCATTTATTCTCCATCTGTTTGAATTTCAACAAGTCATCATGACCATGTCTGCATGCCTAAGTGCACTGAGTTGCTGCAATGTGATTGGCTAATAAGATGTTTGCATTAACAAGCGATTGAACAGGCGTACCTAACAAAGTGGCCGATGAATATATGTGCATTTGTGAGAAATAAACAAAACAGCTTCATTACTGATTTTTAGTGACTCTGCTACATTCAAACAGATCATTCAAGCTGGAGACGCCAGCAAACAGCACCTCTCACAGGCCACTTTGCTTTGGAGAAAATGGAAAAGTCAAAGTGAAAATATTTGTATATCAGTATTTGCCAAACTCATATGAAACTATAGATATTTTTATAAGAAACTTTTAACTGGGCCTGGATATATATATGGTCTCTCTTATCAGTTTCCAGGCAGAAATGCCCTGTTAGGTGTATTCTATACATACACAAAGTAATGTATAACAATGTAAACACCTCTGGTGTCTACATACATCTCTTTTCAGAACTATTTAGCTTCTATATTTATAGTTCCCTCTTTTTCTTAAAGCTGGCAAAATGTTTGCCATTCCAGTCACTCATCACACAGTGCGAGCTGTAAAGCCAACCAAACACAGTTCCCACAGAGAGTGAGAGGACTGTAAAAGCCTCGGTATGAGTCAGAGGAAGTACCTGCCTGGTCAGCACTGGATATGGGGAGCTACAGTCAACAACTTTCTGAAACCGACAGTCTAGTAGTCATTACTACTATGTGTGTGGAAGTGAGAAAGAGTGCCAGTTTGAAACTTTATCAGTTTTCACATAACAGCTTCTACAACACTGTGAGTGCCTTCACAGAAAGCTTGTCCACAGATCTTGGATATTATAAACTGTTGTATGAGACTTCATGTTGTACAGAGTGCATTTGTGGCATACTGAGGCCTTGGGGGAGTTTCGGTTTGTACAAACTAATAGTATCTGGGAAATTTTTAGTTACCTACTTATATTCCCTGATTGTGATCAAAAGTTTTGGAAAAACCAAAGATCTTTAAAGTGAAGCCATGCCCCGAGTTTGTCACCTTGAAACTATTTTGCTTACACTATGCTTTTGTTAGCTAGTATGACGAGAGCAACAATACCATTTATTGCACTTTCCATGAGTAAATACTCAACATCTTTTCTGAGTACATGACTCAAAGGTCTGCTGGTGTTACAGGAAGATATATGGACATACACACTTTTTTAAGTAATAAAAGTGAAATATTACTCACTAGTTCAAAGAATCAAAACAATCATCAGCTCCAAATTAGCTTTTCTTTGTCAGAAGTGACATATGGCTGTAAGTGTACTTAATTTCCTGAGAGACAAACTACTTCTCAGAGGCCACTGACTTTTTCCATTTTCTCAAAAGCAAAGTGAAAATATTTATAAATCAGTATGCTTTCCATCTTATTCTATGTGGCATACTCATATAAAACCATAGATATCTTTATCACCCCACACCATCTTTTCTGAGTACACGACTCAAAGGTTTGCTGGTATTACAGGAAGATATGTGGACTCGCACACTTTAAGTAATAAAAGTCAAATATTACTCACTACTTCAAAGAATCAAAATAATTATCAGCCCCAAATTAGCTTTTCTTTGGCAGAAGTGAAGTATGGTTAAAACTAAGTGTATTTAATTTCCTGAGAGACAAACTAATTGTATGACTCATAGATACCTCACTTCTTTCTAAAGACTTTTTAAGGTCGCAAAGCTACAGTTTGATTTTCTGAATAAACTACAAAGGTTTCATACCACAGTAAGAGCCGTCTATAGACAGCAGCATAAACTAAGATTAAAAATGAATGCAAAGAAAGCTATCACAGAAAATGAGAGCATTAAAGGTCCCATTTTGTACCAGTTTAGCACATGTTCATATTGGTGTTACATGTCCCCCAGACAGTATATTTTGGGTTTCAGCCCCAAATACCACACAGTTCATTTTTTTGTTTCATGTCGATATTCTCCTGGTTTACAGCTCAGTATCGAATGAGCTATTTCATTTTCTGTAGCTTTAAATTGAAAAGGAAGAACAGTTGCCCATACTTTACACTTTGAGTTTGTTTGCTGAAGTTTAAACTGAGCATCCACTGGGAAAGAAAGTGTGACTTAAGTGGGTTTGCTTTTAACGTGGCATGGTTGCTGGTTCCAGAAAGACTGGTCTGAATATTTCAGCACCTCTGAATGCACAACGCACAACCTTGAAGCAGATGGGCTACAGCCGCGGAAGACCACACCAGGTACCATTGCTTTAAGCTAAGAACAGCAAACTGAGGCTACAAATGACACAGGCTCACAAAAACTAGACAAAAGACTAAACACAAGACTAAACTAGACTAGAGGAGGAAAATGTTGCATGTTCTTATGAATCTTGATGAAAACAACAGGAACCTCATCATCTGGCACCAATAAACATAGATCTACTAGATGTACACACAGCTATGACTATACATTATACGCCAATTCAACAAAAGGCTTACCTGCTTCAAACATAAAACCATAACCAATCAATGGTCTCAACCTGATCTCAATTTCCTGTAGATTTCGGTGGCACTGGTTTACTTTGAGCAACTCCCAGCATCATATACTAACAAGAGAAACCTAAGTTTACCTACCTTGTCTTCGGTGACATGCTAGGCTCGAGGCAACTTTAAACGCAAACTCGAGAGCGGGCAGCAGACAAGAGATGTGGGGCAGCACAGCCACCCTGCTGAAACGTACTAAAGAGAGTTAGCTCAATCACAGTAAACACCTTAACCATCACTCACCCACTAAAAAAACCCTCTGATGTTTAGTCTCCACAAAAATATCCAAAATAGAGTCCAAAATATCCCGGACGAGCCCCCATTTATTTTATGACCCGGCTCAAAAGCCAAACAGTTGGTACCATGAAGATCATAAAACCAAAACTGGTGTGCCTCCACAGCCTGCCTCAAGCATGCCTTTATCCACATGCCATGTGTGGTCAATTGGCAATTGAAGACTCAATTGACAACTCTTTGCACTGCCACTGCAAAGAGAATAGAGGTTGCAGAGGGGCGTAACAATGGCAGGAGTGATAATAATAATAATAAGTGAAATAATCTAATACATCTATGAAATGACAAATCTTACTCTTTTGGCTGCTCTTTTTATGGGGACACCTCAGCAGATCATCTATCTCTCACTGTCATCATCTTGCCCTGTCTCTAGCATCCTGGTCTGTCACACAAACACTCTGCAACACTCTGTCTCAAAACTGCCCACCCTGAGCTGTCCCTCTGATTTACTCATTTTTTTTCTGTCCATTTTGGTCCGTCCCAGTGAAAATCTTAGCATCTTTACTTGTGTGAACTCCAGCTCCTCCTCCTGTCTTTTTGTCTTTTACTCTTGCTGCTGTCATTCTGTCACAAGCCACCTGGGCACTCATTTCCATCCACTGCACTCTCTTCTTCACCTCTTTTGCATGCTGCCCATTCCTTTGGATGGTTGACCCCATTAAATCTACTCATTGGATGTATAAAATAACAAACATTCACACTTAAGAATCAAGTGACACACTAAAGCAAAAAAAAAAAAGACACATCATTTCAGTCCTGCCTTTGGCGATGTATGCATTTAATGGATTACATAGAAAAAAAACAGCATTCTTTGAAAAATATCTGGACATGAATACCAAAGATATCCATATATGTTTATATTTCTATAAGATATTTGTATTTACATGTTTGAACTAACACAACAACTAAATCAATCAATGAAAAAATAATGCTGCATCTTATTTATCCTCAAAAAAACACATTTGCACAGAAATGTGCACATTAATTTGTGTTACACATAAAAAGAAATAATACCCTTTTCCTAATTAAATATAGCAGGCTCAAAACATTTCTACAAAAAATCTTCATAAGGTAATGTTAAACTATTTAAACTATGTTAAACTAGTCCTGGGACATACTTATTTTGATATGACAGACCTCTTAATCAACAACATAATTAAATTAATGTGATAGAATACTTTTCAGCGAGTTTTGTCAATGATAAATCTTTCAAATGACTTAGGTTTAATTAATCCTGATGTTATATAGAGAGATCCGTAAAGAGGTCCCCATTTATATAACTTGTTGCAGAAATAATGAAATATGAAAAAATATGTACAAAATCAAAACTCTGAGATGAAGACAAATCAAATACACAATACTCAGTGAAGAAAATTGGAAGGAAATGTTCCTTCAACACTTCAGAGGTAAAATTTTGAGGTATGAGTGTTCATATAGCCACTGATATTGTTTGCACTGTGATATGTAAACAACCTTGTCTAACACAATCATACATGCTGTATAAGGGTTCAGTACTACAACAATTAAGAGGTCAAAATACAAAAAAAAATGTAATACTAAATAAAATATGTACAACAGAAGTTTGCGAGATGATGTTAACACAATAAATTGGCACTTTTTTTTACAATGTGTCTTTGGTGACATATGAAGCTGCCTGGAAGTAAGCAGCAAACACTTGCCTATGTTGGTTAAGTTTCATCAACCATTACATATTTCCAGCTATTTTAGGATTTCACTACTACCGGCCTTTTAATCAACCTCACATTCCCAAAAATATCCTTTTGATCTGAGAAAGTCATGAAAAACACATTTCACTCTTTAAATTATCCAGTACAGTTTTTACAGAAATGTTTAACGCATGGTAGAATTTACAGTGTCCATGTAATCCTGTAAAAAACTGAATATATGTTGCAGTGATTGTTACACTGATAACCTTTCCCCCCAAGAGGCCAAATAAACTTAAAAAGCATTAGTATTTAGAGGTATTTCCAAACACTAAAATTCTCTAGAATTGTTTTAATGCTGTTAAAAACTGCATTAAAACAACATTAACATAAAATAGAACATTTGCATTGGTGGAGATCTATATATGAGCCTTCTCTTAGATTTAGATTAAGAAACTGCAGCCATCTCAATACAATACATACAGGATATTATACAAAACATATGATTCACAAAGTTCAAAATCGAGAATTAACAGATTACAATAAAAAGCAAAACATGCAGTATATAAATGTCCTATTTATAGTTTCAGGTGGGGCTACAACGGCAGACTTGAAGTGAAGTTGAGAGTTATTGAAATAATTGCTGACTAATCAAAAAAATAAAATTTGCAGATTCGTCAACTACTAAAATGTAGGTCTGCAACAATTTTGGTGTAGCTCATGTTTCAAGGTCTCTAATCACATCTGATAGTGAGAACATATAGCTGATACTCAACTGAAGTTCTTCACAACATAATTTGATTCATAAATTTGTATGTGGTGATTATGCAGAGGTATATTTTTGTGGATATACACTTTTTTCCAATACACAGCTTTTCCTCTATAATGTAATTGGTATTACTGATCAGACGATACACTACTTTATCTATTGATTATCAGTTAACTGTAATGATTTCTCCTGGTTGACAGTGTAATTGTTTTGCTGTTGATGGCTGGTTCCTAAAACACATTTCTAAATATAATCTCTTAAAGCTGAAATACTTTACTAATTTGCGTCATAATCATATACTATACTGATTACATGCTATCAAGTCCTCTTTTGAAGAATCTGGTGCTAATTTTCCAAATTGTTCTTGTAATTTCAAAAAATTGATCAAATGCCACTATTTGATAATGTAACTTATTTTTTAATGTGGAAAGATTCATCTTGGTGAAGATGCCTCTTTGTCTGTCTTGCCTTCATAGTTACCCTACATGATGCTGTCTCCTTGCACCACAGGGTAGCAAGTGAAGAACTATTTTTAAATCATCTTTCAAGATCTACAAAGTAATGTGTGTTGGAAAATAGAGTTATTGTGTTCCCAGTGTACCTTTTAACAAAATGCCTCTAAACAGCTTTTACACTAATCATGCTAGAGTAAAAATAAGACTGCAACCTCATTGCAACTAGAAAGGAATGGTAATTACCTGGTGATCACACAAATTTTTTTTTTACTGTTGAAAACCAATTGCAAGTACTTGTGGTAACTAAGTGGCTGCTCAGAGGTTCAGCACTCAACCTCTCGGTGCTTGCAGTTTGCCTGGTGGGAGGAAATCTGTCACCAAACAACCATTGTCGGACTCTAACTGCTATTACTCTCACGGATTGCAGAAGGTTTGCAAATAATTGTCATCTGATTTATAAATGCAGACACACTGACAACATATCATAATCAGTTTGAGTCAGTCTGCACTGATGAGACACAAATCAGTTTCTTTGCAAAAGAGGACTAAACCCAACTGGTTCTATTCTCGTTATGTTCCTATATAACAGCAAGGTTGACAAGCACCTATGTCATTTTGCAATTAAATTGCAGCAGCTACATCACAATTTCTGTTTCAAATCTACGAGCTTCTGGCTTGACTCTGAATGTAAGTAGTTTGTGTAAAAACCTGTTTAATGTAGACAGCAACAGATTTATCACAGTTAATTACCATATTCTCGCAGACAAATTGCATGTAATTGCCAGCTTGACCTCCTCCAACCTGATAGCAAACTGACTCCATCTTATTGCCATTTACGGCTATTGGCTGCAAGTGGTTGCAGACCTGGTGCGTGTCTCTGAAGCAACAAATTCAAACTTGAACTTATTCACGCGTTCGTTGTACACAGTTGCAGTAATCAACTGGTCATTCTGCATTCTGCAGTCATTGTTTTCCCGTGTGTGATTGTAGCACAAAGACAAATTCGTGTTACGCTGGTTCCTTCTTACGTATTATAACATACATACTTTTGAACATACATACAGTTTTTGATAGGTAGCTGAGAGCAAGTTCACAAGTAGTTCACTTATGCAGGCTTGTCTCTCTGTTTTATATTCACTGCAGTGATGGTTGCGTCTTATTTCTGCGTCAGGACATGACTGATAAACCTCTTCTGATCTGTGGATAATGATGGTGAAAGCTTCTTTGGATTCCACTCTCTGAATGAAGGTGAGCAGTAGAGTGATGTGGAGAAAAACCTGCGGGGGTGAATGAAATGGAAAATGTTCAGGGATGACAAACACTCTGAGGGTGTTTATGTTTGTTATCTGTAATAAAATGTAATATGTATAAGAAATTAAGGGCAGACTAATGATCAGTCTCACCTCTCTGCGATGCTACCCTGACACCCAGTTGTGTGTGGTCGTCTTCACCCTCTGGGAAAACCCATGAGGCCCAGCTGCTGGATCAAAATTAAAGTCCAGCCCCCCACCATCCATGAGTGTGTCATGGAGGACGGACTCCAAGTCACATTCAAACCTTTCAGTAGGCACACTGTCCAGATCACTGGGTAGGTGCTCTTGATGATGATGACTGTGTGGGTGTACAGAGTTGAGTTCTCTGTAGCTGTTGCTGCTGCCGTAGGTCACTGAGGCATCATTAGTGTGTGGAGGGAGTCCGAGGGGGAGCTGCATGCACGTCCTTGGACCAGCCATTCGAAGAGAGGGCCCTGAATGGCTAGTCAGGCGTATCATGTTACAGCTATTCAAGTCTTGTGAGGCAGCTGGACCCTGGCTATGCAGAGTATGTGGATTTACACGAGGAAGTGGGTGACTCTGAGAGGGATTCATCATTTTTACTCCATTATGACCACCCACATGGCTTTGGCTGCTATAAGTAGGTATTGGACAACTTGCCCTCCCAACTTCAGAGTGCATCATGTCCCTTCTGGTGTCTGGTTCTCCTGTCAACAGCCCAGAAGGGAAGATATACTGGTTCTCGTAAGCCCCAAAGCTGGGCTTAGTCTCTGGAAGTGTCTGCATAGGAGCAGGGGACAGGGAGTGCATTCTCACCTGACTATACAAGCACTTCTGGTAGTCTTGCTGCTGGTGTGGGGTCAGTCCAGTGGAGTTATAGGGGCTACTCTGAAGCATGCCGGCGTTTGAGGAGCGCGGGGAGTGTGAGGAGTCAGGGCTGAGCTGGGAGGGTTTAGGAGACAGCAAGTTAAGGTTATCCAGCAGATCCATGACCTTTTCTGAGCGATGCTGGCCCATGGATCCAGACACCTCAGACAGGCTGGGCAGGGTAGAGGTTATCTTAGCACCAGCAACTCCAGGATACATTATGTGGCCATCGGACTCGCCCACATCATCCTGTTCAGAAGGGAAAGGTGAACGGCGACCACTCAGAGTACTGGCATCAGAGCTGGTACGCGTCCTAAAGGTTTTCCAGGTGTCAAAATCTTCGTTGCTGTGGGAGTTTGGACTTCCAAGCCAGGTAGAGTACTGGGAACTGGGACTGCCTGCTCCTCCTTCAAGCCCTTCCTGTAGAGCCATCTAGAGATAGTAGAACACAAGAACACTGAGTACATGTAATCTAGATTCAACAGAATAAAAAAAAAACCAAACATTTGGCTGAAATATCTATGAAGGTTCAGTTCAGGAGAAGAGACCTTTTTCTTTGCGGCTCTTCCTCTACTCTTGACAAACTTATTGCTGTTGTCCATGGAGGTAGCTCTGCGTCGAGGTGACTTTCCATTCTTTCCTCCCTCTGGGTTCAGCATCCACCAGGAGCTTTTTCCTGTTCCCTCGTTCTGTATGCGCACAAAGCGACTGTGCAGGGACAGGTTGTGTCTGATGGAGTTCTGAATGGGAGAAAAGTGATTCATTTGTAAGTTTTCCCTCACACAAATATCATGGTCAGTTTAATAAATCAGTGCCTGTCACTGAATATGATACTGAACAAAATAAAGTATCGTCAGCAACATAACTTAAGAGACTCTTTTCTCCAGAAATACAGGACCTATTCAATGAAAGAGGGAAGCGGTGATCAATGTTGGACACAAGTGTGACAAAGATAGATGACAATTCATATTACACTATAGTATAATAGTGCAAAATTTGACCAAAGAAACATTTCTTGTTAGTTTCTTCACTCGGTCTGCTTTTTTTTTTTTTCCTTACATTTTTCCTGTTTTCTGAATACATTCTGACTTTTACGTTGTATTCATCAGTTTTTCTCATGCTTTAACTGCTTGTATTGTTTTGAAGGCCCACGAGAGAGCTTACTAGGGTGTCCATCTCTCCTCACTGCGGACTATAATCATGTTTCCTGTGATTTCCACTGACTTTAATCAGCGCAGCCCAGCAGCAGCAACAACAACACCGTTCGCTTTGGATCCAAAGTGAAAAACAACAGTGAAAAAACAAGGAGAAAAACAACAACAAAAAACAGGGTAATTTGGAAGACACGTTACAGAAAAAAACCATCACTGCTTAATCTTGCCTGTGCCCATCATCGAAAATTACACCTCTGAAAGAGCTCATTGAGATCACTGAGCTGCTCTCTTTTTTTGTATGTGGTCAAATTTGTCCTCGTCCAAATATGCACACACCTAAAGCCTTATTCAGTAGATTTTTAATGCCATGTTATGTATCCCAAAAAGGATGCAGTAGACTCCTCCTGTGGTAATGCTCTCAGGAAGAAAACCAGTGTCGGTCGGGAGGTCATGAAGACAGTTAGACATGGCACAGACACACTGTACAGACTGGTCTTTCTGTGACACTAATATGCAACTTGCTGAGCTTGATGGGGGGGGGACAATGAAAGACTAAAGTGTAACACAATACGTGCAAGTATGGAATTTCCCCCTAAACACCCATGTGAATAAGAAAGCAGCTCCCTGCAGTTAGTAAACCCAGATGTTCCCAACCGCAGGATTCAGCAGGGATATACAAAGCACTGAGATAAAGATGTTCTCATCCAAAACAATAGATGGATTGTCTCAGTGTGTCTCTGACATTTTGGGGTTAAAGTTAAGCTTCTGGCAGGAATATGACTTCTAATCTATAAAACTACTCTCAGTGAAAGTATTATTTCAAAGTGGAAATTATCAAAGTAGATTCAAGGAATAAAACCAGAAAAAACTGCAAAATTGGAACAACTTTGACGCTTTTCAAGTATTCTTTTTTGTGCCGTCGTCATAAGAAGGTGCTGAAAGATGAGTTCAACCTCAAACTGTAAACTGACAGAGTGAAAACAGAGAGCGGTACACAAGTTAGATTTTTTTTTGTTTTGTTAAACAGAAACTAAGAGGAGGTCACAGAGTTCGAAGCTAAGTTGGGGAGGGCGACACTGTAGGATGTTATTGCCGGCAGAACCGGGGTCAATGAGTTCACTGTGTGCTAAACACGAGCTGCTCATACGAGCTGACGGGGACATGCAAACAGGTTGGATGGCAAAGGAAGAGCGAGGAGGAGAATCATCAGATGTGACACGCTGGGTAAGACCCGCTTCGTGAGACTCACCAAAACAGCTTCTTTGGACTGCACCCCACCACCAAAACCAGACTCCTCCCTTCTCCTCCAGTGACTTTTAAATGAGGCTTCCTGTGTCAGAGGACATCCTGCACATGTAGACTGAAGAGACCTGAGGTTGTATGGTTTCAAAATGCAATTCAATCATTGCATTTTATGCTCATTTGATTTACGACCCTTTTCTCCCCATTTTCCTTTTTTTAAATGATCTCTCCGGACATCTTAGCAGTGTGCTGCACAGACTCAAGCCTGCAAACCAACATTTATTTCACTAACCAAATGTGAAGTCTCGCTCACGCATGGCAGAGATCACTGTTGATATGCAAATCTCTACAGCCTTTGATTAGCACCTACTACAGATCGAGCACTGCAAGGCAGTGCTGTGGAAAGGGAAATTTTCTTCTCTGCCTTATCTTTGACAAACCTCAACTCAACTCAAAGACAACAAAAATTCCCCTTCCTTTTTAGTTCAGGAGGTGCCCCACTCAATCATTATTTCAAAGAAATAATGATTTCAAAGAAATAATGATTGAGGTCCAGTCTTTTTTTTTTCTGTTGCATTACGGCATATTTTGTAGTAGTAAAATGTGTGCTTTTGTGGTTGCAAAACATTTCATGAGAAATCTATTTTTTCCTCCGCTGACCTGCTTTGGCAACCAGGGTAGTGACGAGGTCCAGATTAAAGAGAAACTTAAGTGACATAAATGTTTAAGAGCAAAGATCCTCTTAGAGAAGTGATGCCACACAAGTCTGCAGAAGAGTATTACAAAGAAATCTGCAACATTTTCTGCTCTACACTTGAGGACATTTAGTAGTGCTGCCCCTGAAACAAACCGGTGCAGCATGGAAGAGACATTAGACAGCTTATGCAAGAAATCCTGAAATCAGGAAGGACTGAGTTGGGACAAAATCTACTTTCAGTTCGTCCTCAGAAATGGGTCATTAGGCTTCCCACATGAAAGGAGAAAACAGCACCTGCCACAACTCAGGTGAGATACCCGGTAGAACACCTGAGCTGGAGTAAGGAGAGTCATCCATCACCATCATCCATAATGCAGCATGAAATGACTCCTCCTACTGGACTTCAAAACAATCTAATTGACGCAGCTGCTGTTTCTTGTGTAGTGAAGCATGAGGCTTGCAGTAACGGTCGCAGGGTAAGTAAACAAACAGGGCTCGGTTGCAAGAACAGGTGCGGCCTCAGTGAAAGTGGCCTCAGTTGCAATCGGTCTATGCATTTTACATACAGGGCCAGCTACAACCACAGACAGGACAGAGGATCTCCCAGGAGGCTGACTGCTGGAAACCAGCTGCTTCTCAAATCAGTAACTTGGTTTTTATCTCAATGGTGAAAGCTTACATGTAGTTAGTGATGGGGAGGGGGGCAGGGAGAATGACCTTGTCTTCCCATCAGTAAATTTTCCAGGCAGGAAAACGTGAGAAAATATAAATATAATTTTTTTCTTTGAAGGCTTTAAAAGTTAAAGTGTACTGTGACTTTTGATGCTAAATGTTAGCTTAGGTTTTCAACCTTTAGATATTGCAACCCTGTAGATAAGCATTTGTGTTTGTATTTGTGCCACTGCTATATTTTTTCATTATCTTTTACAGTTAGCAGCAAAACCTATAAATGGAAAATAGTGCAGTTTTTTGCTAATCGCTGACAGTTATTCAGTCCTTCTCATTGGATTGCTTGATTTCCCAGTAAGAGAGCCAAGAGGTACTGTCCTAATCTTTGCTAACATTCGCTAACGCTAGCCACGATAAGCTGCAAAAATGCCCGGGTAAATAATGGTGCAATTTGTTGCTCACAAATTCAACTGTTTTTATATACTCAACCAAATATAAATGCTGTTAGTCACACCTGTTCAACTGCTCATTAATGCCACTGACTAAGCAGCTAATCAAATGGCCACAACTCAATGCATTTAGTGATGTCGATATGGTCAAGATGACCAGCTGAGTTTAAACTGAGCATGGGGAAGCAAGGAAGCTGATTTAAGTGATTTAGTAAAATTGTATGTACGAGACAGGTTGGTCGAAGTGATTCATAAAATGCTGCTCTGCTGGGATTTTCCCACACAACCATTTCTTGGGTTTACAGAGAATGGTCAGAGAAAGAGAAAATATTCACTGAGCAGCAGAAAAAAGGCCAGCTTGCTTTGATCTGATCGAAAGGGAATAGTAGCTCCAATGATTTTTCGCTACAATCAAGAACAGCATCTCTAAATGGACAACAGTGAACCTTGAAGAAGACAGGCTATAGCAGCAGAAGACCACATCAGAAACCACTCCTTTCAGCTAAGAACAGGAGTCTGAAGCTATAGTTGTTATAGAGTAGTTATAGAGGTTGAGCAAAATTGAACAACAGAAGATTGAAAAAACATTGCCTGGTCTGATGTGTCTCAGTTTTTGGATGGTTTGGTCAGAATTTAAGATAAACAACATTAAAACGTGGATTCAGTTGACTTCAGCCTGCTGGTGGTGGTATTTTTTGGAACACCTGAATATTGTTGAATATTTCCGTCACCTTATGACCACAGTGCACCCATCTACTGATGGTTATTCCAGCAGAAATACTTGGTTATACCAGCAGAAGCTCAACTGTTCTCAGATAACCTACACAGTCACAAGATAGCAATCCACTGGAGCACCTTTGAATTGTGGTAAGATGGGAGTGTCGCATTATGGATGTGCAGCAATTGTGTGATGCTGACATGTCAATATGAACCAAAATCTCTAAAGAAATGTTTTCAACAGCTTGTTAAATCTATTCTATAAAAAGCTTGAAGGCAAAAGGGAGGGGATCAGCATAAGGTGTACCTCGTGTTTTTGTCTTTTTAAGGCATACATTTCAACATTTTACTGACCTCAGTGATAGATTCCACTGCACTCAAACAAAGTGCTTGTGCTGTGTCTGCCAAAAGGTTTTCAAACAAAGTTGTAGAGAATGAGGAAACTGGAAGAACAATTGTCTATTAATCAAGATCACATTAGCAGGGAAATTAGGAAGTGTGCTAATCTATGTAGCTGCCAGTGACTACAAAGAGCTCAGCAAAGCCATTTTACTGCTGTCAAACTTATTTTCAAAGCAGGATTTTAGGTAATACAGGCTAAAAGGTTAAGTTACTGGAAAATGTATTTGATACTGCTTGACTTCATGAGCATGGCCAACACCCTGCTTCTTTAATTTACATTAAAATCCAGACTTGACTAAATCGGAGTGATTTTCTGCTAACATGTAACTACCACTACAAAGCAGTTATCTGGTAGAAATAAGAGAATAGGAAAAACGAGCACTTGCAGAGATTACGGTCTTCCTGTGCTG